ATGTGAAAATTAAATATGTGTAATTCAGCAGCAAAGACTATTATTAAGGTATATTATTTTTAAAAAACGTGCACTAAGGTCACATCATTTATTCCTAGCATCGACCGAAATCCATTCTTWGCTGCGTCAAAACGGACTTTCAATAGATSAAACGAAAATTGCTTGAATCCCGATTGCCACCTTAARAAACCCGAAAATTGAACATTTCTMATGTTTTAGGAATCTTTCGATTTACAAGTGTGTTCATCCAGTTCACAATGCGAAGAATATGTAAATTCTCTGAAAATGGAAAAACCTCTGTAATATAATTAAAATATTGACAGCAAAGAACGCCAATATTGACCTACGGAACTTCGACAATGCCACTCCTTTGCATCTGGCAGCTGGTAAGAAAAAAAATGGAGACGCTGTTGCATTATTGCTAGAACAAGGCGCCGCAGTTGATTTGGTGACTTATAATGGGGACCTTCCTCTGCATACAGCAGCAGCATCTGGAAAAGAGCAAACAGTAAGGCTGCTCTATCGAAAAGGTTTTCAAATTCGGAAAACCCGATGTGGACTGACACCTTTGATGATGGCCGAAGCTTTCGCAAAACGGTCAATGTGAATGTGTGCTTACTTAAAGGGATAGAAATGTGTGAAAGGATCAGGCCAACCAGTGCCTTATCTGCTGCTAAAGATGATTAAGACTGTAACTATTACTTAAGAGTGTCCTATTAAACTTTTAAATGTGTAATTGAATCACGTTGCAATGTTCAAAAATGTTTCGCAATATGCTCTTAACAAAAATTCTATAAGCAATTACAAATTTTAATATTGGTCACAACAAAATACAGTTAATAGTTTTACATTGATAGACGAGTATTTTCGTTCCTCCACAGATTATTCTATTGCGTCGAAATACAGTTAGGTATAGCAATTTGCATTAACACATTACTTTAATTTTACTTTTGTTGCTTCCATTCAATCCGTGAAAACATGTTTATCTCAAAAAAGAAATAAACCAAAATCAAACTGGTAAAAATTAAAAAATATAAATAATAGTTCTACATTAATAGAAGAGTAATTATGTTCAGACAACCTTACTTGTCTCTTATGCGAAATTTTTTTGTGTGTGGTTTTCGCGCGTGTTCCCTAGCGTCTTCAATGCTTCAAGTCCACAACATCGACATCACCTGTATGTATAGAACACGAAACAATAAAATAATCAAATGTATTTCATTTAAACACCAACATACCTTTACATTTTTCCGGGGTTTTAAGCCATAATTATACCGTAATTACCGTCTTGAAGGCACATCATAACACTGAGGCACACAGCACGGTTTTATATTTTGAGTAATTTATTTCTCGTAAAGATTAATATGGATTTTTAAAATTCTCAAGTATTCGAAAAACTCGTGATGCACGTAAAGAGAGATAAACATAGATAAAGACGAGCAGCAGTTGTCTTCTGTCTTCTGTCCCCAATGTCAATCACGGAAAAGTCCTGAATTGTCACACCCCGGATATCACATCACTGATAAACTGATATTGAAATGATTGCTTAGAAACACAGTATTCTAACAACTAATAAATCCACAACCATATAAATAATTTAAAAAATCAAGGTTTGTGTAATGGCACGTAATAATTTGTTTATGCCAATAACCAACAAATTATAGGCTTTGCAGCTTTTCAGAAATTCTGAGAGCTTTGGCGTTACCGCCAAGCAGCACTGCGTGAAAGATGATTCTCATTGGTCCGGTCGACTCTCTAATGTCACGTTATAGCCGGACGTAATCCGTGTACACTAGGCGGGTAATTTGAATTTGTAATATGCATTTTAATTGTTTGAATTTTATAGGTTGGAAACTGTTATCACCTGATAAATTTATTTGAATAATATAGAAATTTTATTAGGATTGACCAATAAAATTATAACGTTGACGCTTTTAAAAAGAAAAGTTCATATAAACAATGTCCGAAACAGGTTACGTTATATACTGCCACAGAGTGCAGTGTGTAGAATATTTTCCACGTTTCCACGTGCTCTTAAATGCCAGTTTTAACCAGACTGCCCTTGGCCATCCAATCCACAATTTCAGTGGTAAAACTCTCCACTCGGGAACCTGAACGCAGTTGAAGATATATCTGGAAAAATCCAATCGAGTGGAAAAATCTAAAACACCAGACAAAATAGTCTTTTATCGATGATTGTAATCACAGAACAACCCAATAAATCAAATAAACCAGACTCGACGAAAAAAACCGAAAGGACCTAAACCCAAAACTTCAAAATTGCCGAGCATAACAAAAGATTATGTTTTTTCCTATCTTAAAGTAGGAACATACTTCACCAAACACAAATCGGTTCTTTTCAGAACCACAATTTGTTTCCAAATAAATAAGGTTTAAAACTAGGATAAGAAGAAACGGTGCAAATAATTTGAGAGCACGTACTATTTTTGAATTTAAGTCTGAACATATATAAAAGGGTATTTTATGTATCTAAGGCGAGAAGTAAGCTGTAATACACCGAGTACATTTAAATATATATAGCGAGCGAGGTATTTAATAGGGTTCTGTACTGAAGTAGCTAAACATAGAGACCGGCAAAATTAAAATAATGAACAACTAAAACATTTTTCATTATCTACCTAAGTATTTTTCTATCATTAGTATTGACATAGATAAATGTGAATTCTCAATAAGGAAAAGCATTAAATATACCGTGGATATACATTCATGTGTATCATTCATGCGGATTCATTTTTTTACATTCTTCTTGTTGGGTATTTCCCCTCAAAAATGTATGTCTTTAAAAAAGACAGAATTTCCTCACGTCTTTTATTACAGATTGATAAATAGTGCTCCTATTTCGCAATAAGAACGAATTATTTATCAAAAA